AGGGTAGAGGGGAAGATAGAGGTGGAAGTTGGAGAAAATGCACTTATGAAACCTGACCAGCATACTCTCTAAGTGCACCACTGTAGAGTCTACTTCGGATGCACTCCCTCCCAGGCCTCTCCTGTTTTCCCTTTTTTTTTTGTTTTCCCACCCAAATGTCGAGTCTTTTAGTGGCCAAGAATCCTCCTGCTTGATTACAACAAAACTACTGTATCTTCTGTTGGATGTGTGCAAAGGGATTTACCGGAGGCTGCTATACGTGGCATGTGGGGATTTTGGGGACTATTCCAACATGCTTACAGCTCCAGCTAATTCTCATTTCTTTGCTTCAAGAAGCTGATTGGAAATTTTTTTAATGCAATATGGGAATCAATCAGGCTATTTAAACACTGAAATGTGAAGCAGCCATGCCTAGAAATGTACATCTGTTTACATTGCTGCATTATTACAGCGGCATACAAATGAAATATAGATTTTATGAGCCTGATCTATTGGCAAATATGACTTAAGTTGAACTCGACATCTCATTAACGCACTTTTGCTTTGGTTGTTAACTCAGTTTTGTACAAATATAAATTTTTTCTCCCCTAGCAGCTCACTTTATTATTTCAATCAAAAAATGCACAAAAATGCTTCTGTAGATATTTCATTTAAAAATAATGTTTCAGTGAGAAATACATTTTTATGATCAGCTGAACAAAAAGGCTGATGGAGATTAATTATCCATCGTCAAAATAATAAGATATTGTAGTATAATTGGTTGGGCAATGATTTTTGTGGTCCAGCTTTTGATGCAAGAAAATGACTGCATTACTGTAACAAATGATCCTGCAGTGATATTTTCATAGCAAAGAAACTGGAGTAAATCAACACCGACATATACACAGGAAGACCACTCAGAGCAGTTTGTACACCAGCTGGGACATTATTTGAAAAAATGCCTACCTGGCGTGATCAAAATATTCTTTGTTCTGGTTTCTGTAGAAAACAGAAAAACGCAGCATCCTTCCAGCAATGACCTCTGCCTTCTCCAGCAGCTGGGTTAGATGCACAGTGGAATAATCTGGAAACACATTCAACATATTATTGTTCATTTATACCGACTCTTTCAAGAAACCAAACAAAAAGATAATTGGAATTGCTACAAATTTTAAGTGACTTGATCACCTAAATTTGCCCTTCGTGCCTCAGCATTTAAATCACAAACATTTCATTTAGTCTGGTAATATGTTCCGCTTTCACCCACAATCTTATGGGTATCTCAGCCAAATGAGTTTGAGTTTAAGCCAAGAAGTAGAAAGGAGTTCCTATGAAGGCATCCCACAAGCAGCAAACACATGGAGACAAATGAGCAAATGAGTGTGCCTTGAAAAAAAAATTAAACCAAGTACACAGGGATTTTATATCCAACAGGCTGGCTTTTTTTTCCCCTTTTTTTAAACACAGATGGCTGTTACAATGACAAGTGAAAAGAACATGTCTTTTGACATTTTTCTTGCCAAAAGATTTGGTTTTGTGTTCGCAGTAATGAGTGTTTCCCACTCAACCAGAACAACAGTAAAATCATTGAACAATCTTCCTTCTCAGTTCACTTTCTTCTACAGTAAACTGCCTCACTTCAGTTGTTACACAATAACTATTTTTCTTTTTCTTTCTTAAGGTTTTAATCATTCTAGCTGTATCACATCCAGATTAAAAACAAATAAAAGGTAGCATGGGTAACTCAGCCTGGTATGAATGTACCTGCTAAATACCACGTATRTCAGAATGTATTCATATGAATACGAAATTTGTACACATTTTAACTATCAATGGAACATGAAGACTTTTTTTTACTCTTTTTCCCTTTTATTCTCATGTGCAGGTGCTTTGGTAAAATAATGGAACAACAACTGAACTAAAGGAATTTAAAGCAGAACAAATGTTTGTTTTTTTTAATCACAGCTGCTCACAAATGACATTTAAATGTCAGCTTTGTTTTGATGGAAATTATTATGTTTTTCTCTGGGTGTGAAGTTGAGATTGTCACAATGTGCAGGGAAATCCGACCAACACAAGAGGATTTATTAATCACTAAACAAAAATAAAACCTGGCGGGGTCAGCAAAAGGTTAGACAAGGGGAACCAGACAGGGCAGAGAAGCATAATGCCAGACTACATTATGAGTGAGTAAACTGGAGACAGTTGACTTAAAAGAGAAATATTATGCTTTTAAATCCTGTTTTTTCACATTTAAATCATTCAGTTTGGGTCTATATAAAGTGGAACTGCAATGCTTTGGTCTGAATGCCTCCTTATTGTAACCCCATGTTCCCCTTTCACCCCTTTTCAGAGGTGTGTCTCAGAACGGTCCATTCTAGTATGATAAAGGGGTTTATGACTATATAGCTGCACAGAAACTTTTTATTTGCAAATTAATGAAAAGATGTCAACAAGGAAAACTTGTTCAGCCTTACATGTTGGAGCCAGAGTTTGACCCAGAGCCAGAGGAAAATGAAAATGACAAAACCGTAGTTGGTAAGTCCAGATATTATTTAGAAGTTCTGTCACAAATTCTGTGATGTAATAGTTCAGAAAGCATAGTTGAAAATGTGGAAAACTAAACAGGTTTAAGTATGACCCAAACAGAATATAAAGATATCTACACAACACTAAGAGAAACTAAATTATTGTTTTTATGCTAAAGATAACAAAATGCATTTAACGGCTAAAAAACAGTGGGTTATTTTATGGTAAAAAGAGAACAGGTGTAGGTGGACATGGCTGGACTGAGGAGCATGAAAAAAATACTGATGGTGATAAAAATTGAAGAAAAAGAACATAAACATCACAAAAGATAAACAAGAGAAATGAAATCATAAATCAGTAAGTACAAAAAAACTACCATTAAAACAACCAAAACCACAGATCCTGACAAAGACTATTTTTGGCAGATAAATAAAAATGAATGAAATGAGCGAGTCTTTTATGAGATGAAGCAGCCAAAAAACTCAAACGTATCTTTGTTAGCAGAACTGAGGACAAACAGAGGGAGGGGAGTGTGCACCGAAGGGCCCACACTCTATTTGAACCGCAGCTGTTATCTTGGACCTCTACGCCATGCTGATAAACTCCACCCTTGAGTCTCTTCACCATSCCCGCCCCTCACCCTCCTTTAAGCCTCTCGCCTGTGACGTAAAGCTCTCTGACCTCAGCTATACAGCACATCTCCCCTTATTCATTTAATCCTTTATTGTTCCACTATCATTCCCACCACTCATAGCATTAGTCTTCCTTTAATATTCTCCCTCATTGCGCGTTTTATCTTTCCCACGTTCACCTCGCTGTAATCCAAACCAAAAATCAATGGTGGCGCCGAGCGTGAACACCTTGAAAATGCAATTATTGGACTCTGTTACACACCAGCAGTGCAGAACTCGATGATCTCGCTCCACTCAGAGACGGCGTAGTCCCCGTCAGGCTGTTTGGAGGCGGTTTGAACGGCCACGGTGTACTCTGTGCGGGGGCTCAGGAACCAGTGGCCCCGCACCGTCATGGGCAGAGGCACGGCTTTGGCCACGAGCTTGGTTGGAACGTCCTGGATGGGGGGAGGAAAGGAAAACATTGGCAAGATGGAAAGAAAAAAGGTGGTGACAGGAAGGAATGAGTCTGAAACAGATTGTCCAGGTACGGTTTCTATGAGAGGCCCTTTAGGCCATAATTCAAACTTGCTCTCACATGTACTATCAAACCCTCTCACACATACTATCAAACTCTCTCACATTTACTATCAAACTCTCTCACATTTACTATCAAACTCTCTCACACATACTATCAAACTCTCTCACATTTACTATCAAACTCTAAATGTAAGAGAATTTGATAGTAAATGCGAGAGAGTTTGATGGTATATGTGAGAGAGTTTGATAGTATATGTGAGAGAGTTTGATAGTAAATGCGAAAGTTTGATGGTATATGTGAGAGAGTTTGATAGTAAATGCGAGAGTTTGATGGTATATGTGAGAGATTTTGATGGTATATGCGAGACAGTTTGATAGTATATGTGAGAGAGTTTTACAGTAAATGTGAGCGAGTTTGATAGTATGTGTAAGAGACTTTGATAGTATATGCGAGAGAGTTTGATAGTATATGCGAGAGAGTTTGATAGTATGTGTAAGAGAGTTTGATAATATGTGTAAGAGAGTTTGATAGTATGTGTAAGAGAGTTTGATAGTATATATGCGAGAGAGTTTGATAGTATATGCAAGAGAGTTTGATAGTATATGCGAGAGCGTTTGATAGTATATGCAAGAGAGTTTGATAGTATATGTGAGAGAGTTTGATAGTATGTGTAAGAGAGTTTGATAGTATGTGTAAGAGAGTTTGACAGTATATGCGAGAGAGTTTGATAGTAAATGTGAGAGACTTTGATAGTATGTGTAAGARAGTTTGATAGTAAATGTGAGAAACTTTGATAGTATGTGTGAGAGGGTTTGATAGTACATGTGAGAGGGTTTGATAGTACATGTGAGAGCAAGTTTGAATTATGGCCTAAAGGGCCTCTCATAGGTTTCTTTCAGCTACAAGCAGCCAATTGCGGTAATCACACACTTATACTGTTCACCACATGTTGAGGTTTAGCTGTAAATGGGTGGAAACTACTCTGTTAAATCTCAACAACAATCCTCGCACCACACAAGAATCAGTAGGTCTTTGYAGCTCATTGATTGGACTGACTGTCCCTGCCTGGCAACAGAGTGAGCCCACTGTAAGCAGTAAAAAGAGAGACTMAACTGAGCAGGCATCAGGAAGAGAAAAACAACAGGAGAGGGGAAGAGGCTGATGAAACCAGTCTGTAAGGTGACCAAAGCAGATCTGAGGTTAGCAACATTGAGAAGGAAAAGCTCTGGGAGAGTCCAAACTTCCAGAAAATACATTAAAAGCTGCCCCCCACCCCCCAATTTATTTTCAGTTCAGTTCCTGATCATTTTCAGAAAAAAATTGTCTGTTTGGTTTTTAATCCACTTAACTCTGAGCTGTTATCATTTAGGCATCAAATGGTACTTAAGCTCAATGAAGCAGTATTGTGTTGACAAACTAAARACAACTTTATAGAGTAAATTTAAAATGACATCTTTAGGTCAAACTTGTTCCCATTTCTTTAGCTGGATCTATTAAAATACCAACAATAACACTGTCTGATAAATATTTCAAATTGTGTTTTAATACCAACAAGGTAACTCCCAAAAAAATGGTTACCTGAATGTTTGACATGAACTAGATAATCAACCAAAGCAAAGGTGCCCAAAGTGTGGCCTGTGGGTCAAATTTGGCCWACTAAGATGCTTGATTTGGCCCATCAGCAGTTGCACTGGTTACTAGGTTGTAATCTTCTGTTATCCTACAGTAAAAAAAAATGCATTACAGTCATTGACCCATTGACTATATAAGGGACTGTAGTGCAGTTTTCACTCATGGTCACTTTATCTTTGATTTATATTAAGATTAACACGAAATACAAGTAACTACTAAACACATTTAGATTAGATTTAAATGTGTATATTTGCACACTTTATAAGACCACAAATACTCATAATCAGTGGTGGATAGTAAAGGAGTACATTTACTTGAGTTCTGTAAATGCATTTTCTGTGTAATTTTACTTTACTTGAGTTATTATTTTTTGGGGTACTTGTGACTTTCACGACACTACATTTTAAAGACAAATATTGTACTTTTGACTCTACATTTCTAGGAAGCTTTTAGTTACTTGTTTCTTTTGGTTCASCATAGCTTTGTAATCAGCTGTTGCCATTCTTCTTTCTTGAAATGTAATTGGTCACACGTTACGTTCCTCACAAGGGGAACCAATCACAGTCGTAGCTCACATCTAGGATAGATTTGGAATTACATCATCTTCATTAACAGTGGTGWGTTGAGCTCTACCTTCATTTCAAACAGAACCTAGCAATGGAGACGATTGAAGAGAGTAGAGAAACCAATACACCCATGACTATATCACAGCTCCATGTTTGAGATTTTAGGACTGAAAAATACTTTGTATCAATTTAAATGTCTTATGGGTTCACTGCGGACAAACTACATTTCTGCATTTAAGAACTCACCTCTCACTTTATTGTATTTTCATGCTGAAGTCTTTACAGGTGGTGAACTTATAGCAGAGTGGTTCTACGTGTCGATACATCAGGTAGTTTCTGAGAGTTACAAGCTTCTTTAAAATAACTCTGAAAACAATACAGCATTGTACTGATATTAGAAATTTTAGTTTGCACTCGAGTACTTGAGAACTTTTAAATGCAAGTACAAGTACTTTTGAATACTTAAATATTTTGAAAAGTAAGTACTTCAGTACTTTAGCTTGAGTAGATTTTTTTAAATTAAAGTACTATAGTTGAGAACTTTGTCCACACTACTCATAACTGATCAATTTATGAAATATCCCATTAGCCTTTGCTTCATGTCAAATGTTTTTCAAGTTCAYGGGCTAAAAAATAAAACAAATAAAAGTGGACTACTGCACTGGCTGCTAGCTTAACCGTAAAAAAATAAAAGGRCTTTACTTTTCATTTATGATGTTATTGCGTTTGGCCCGCAGCCCACTGATAGATTGTCTTTTTGGCCCTCTTGGGTAAAAAGTTTGGACACTCTTGAAAGCTGCATTTAAAAGGCACAAGCTTCATATCCAGCAAATGTCAAAATCAAACTTAATTACATTTTAAAAATGTTCTATATGTGTAGAAATATACAAAATGTGGTAAAAAGAAGAAAAACATTACCACTAGTTAATTCCTTTGTCTTTTTGTATGTCTGTGTTAACTGCTAGTATATAACATTCAAATGGAGCCTGTTTCAGTTTGAAACATTTATTTYGTTAAATAATTATATTAAAAAAATCTATTTAGGACATTAGTTTCTGTTTCTCATGTTTGATAAAGGGTAAAGACAAAAAAAGCCTATTATTCCCTTTTCAAATGCCACACGTCAACTACAGCTGCTYATGTGATTCTCCAACAAGAGGCTGTTGAGTGAGTCATCTCCCCGTAGTGTTTTACCTTTTCCCAGCTCTAGCATTACCTTGTGTTTGAACTTGTTGGAGTTTTTGTTCTCCTTCTTGTTCAGGTCGATGAAATAATGTGTGATGCGCTCCTTGCTGCGCGCCTCCATGTCCCAGCAGATCTTGAAGGAGTCGCAGGTGATGTTGCTGATCTTGATGCTCCGAGGAACAGGGAGCTCCTCCATGTCAGAGAGACTGCCGTCCTGGGATTTTCCTGCGTAATAATAATAATAATAATAATAATAATAATAATAATAAAAACAATAGAGTGATAAGGCTGTCACTGTTACTGTCAACAAAAAATAATATCAATCAAACTAGATCAAATGCTTCAAACTGTATGAATACACTTAGAACTTGACTTTTAATTTCTTTTGTCTAATGTGACTAAACCTCCCTGTGTACTGCAGTAATTATTCCACACACAGCGTCTACAGTAGTAAAACCACAAACCCGATTACTGTATAGGTTACCATGGAAACACATCAGTTCCTCCACAATCATACAGCTTTTTGCTTTACTGAAAAAAGTAGCATTAAATATTTCTCATGTTTGAATCCTCTCTCCTCTCTCTGCAGATATTTATAAGCTGAAAAGCGAGGTTTTGCACACATTTCTGCAACAACAGCAATATTCGAAACAAATGTCAGMGCCTCAGCCACTCATTTAATCAGGATCACTTAGATTTTTTTYCCTTCCATTTAGCCTCCACTAAAAAGTCAAAGACCTTGAATAAATATATGTTTTCAGTTTCATACTCTACAGGAATCTGAAAGGCTTACAACTCAAAGTTCACACAGAGGCCGAGGAAAATAATGTCAAAACCTACAGCTGAATGGGAGCTTTGTCGAATCCCAATGAATGTGGACTTTGCGTCACGCCGTGAGGCGCAYTTGGCATGGCAACAATGTGTTTTCTGTGCACGCTCTGGGCTCGAAACACAAGAGGCAGTAGCATTTGAGGAAGCATGTATTTGGGGGTAATGTTCGATATGACTGAGCTCTACAGAAGATCAACAATGGCAGGAGTAGTGGAGCATGGGAAATCCATCTCTGTTCATCCGCTGGGAGAGGGTGAGATGAAAGAGGGGTCTCATTATTGGGTGTGGAAACACCAACGTCTCACCTAAAAGTCATTTTCAAACAGTGCAGCTTTTAGAGACAGAGGAAATCAACCAATCAGGCAGAGCTTTTTAACACCTATTTGTGTTTCTCAAAGTGGTTGTCCACTGGGGGGTGCTGGGAGGGTCTCAGAAAGCTGGAGGGAAGATAAGAAAAAAAAAGTGACAATAAAAAAATGAATCTAATAAATGTTTTAAATCTTTTTAAATTATAAGAATATATTGAAATGCGATTTAGGAGAGCTGAAGTTCTGTGCTACGGAGCCCGCGAGGGGACATGGGGAGATTTTTTTCTTTTGCGTTCCCACGCAATACTTTTGCGTTACCTCGCAAAATTGTTTTGCGTTCCCACGCAAAAGATTGTTTTGTATATGAACTGAATTAAATCAGACTTTTATTTTGAAATATCCAGTTATCAAAACAGGATGTGTCGCCACAAGTTCGTGAAATTGACATTGATTCTGCGTGGCTGTACTGTGTTAAAATATCGGCATATGACAAACTTCCATGTGTGGCTGTGTGATACATTCATTCTGAAGCTGAATTAAAGCTGTAGGCTAACTSGCTAATGGTGAACGTRTGAGTTTGTTAATAAACCGGCAGGCACAACAGTGATAAACGACTTTTGTGAGGGAACACAAAAGGTATTGCGAGGTAACGCAATAGTATTGCGTGGGAACGCAATACTATTGCGTGGGAACGCAAAAGAAAAAAATCTCCCATGTCCCCTCTCGGGCTCTGTACTGTTCTTATTGTCAACAGTTTGTTGAAAAGTTGTTTTTTCCCAATGACAACACAATACAGTGTTTAAAACATGTTAATAAAGTTATGCTAAAATGTAATAATTATTGAATAGTGAATAAAATTGATAAAAAAAATCTAAAAGTTGATGTTTCTTTAAAATTTGTAGCATTGTCTGTGGGTTTGCAAGGCCGGTCCACAGCCAGAAGCTAATACTATGGCCTCACAACCACTGCATAGAAAAATTTAGGAACCTCTGCTCTAAGTTTTATGATGAAAGTGGACAAACACAGCGGTCTTGCAAAGGAATTTTATCCAGTTTTGACTTTCTGAATCATGAATTGTTTCACTTTTAACCAACAAACCAGACCTCTACTTTATTTGAATTGAAACGCTGAGCATTCATGCATGTCACCATCTTTCATCCCAGAGTTTTAAACCTTGTATAAAGCCTTGTAAAAGGATACTATGCATGATGCCATGTAATTTTGTAAGTTTTTGCACAATGGGATAGCATTCAGAGCTTATGATGCTAATGACTCTCAGCTACTATCACACCAAATTTAATATCAACGTCTAAAATATTGACTGCAGTATAGCCGTTTTTGTGTTAAAAAAATGCCCATTAGCTGTTGTGGCCACTTTAAGTTGGGGTGACTAAATGTTAATCAGCTGTAGAGCTACAGCCAACAATGAATACCTGAGATTTTATTAGATTTTTTTTTGCTAAAGTTGTAAACAAATGAACATGCATATGCAAACACACAGGCAAATGCATTATCACCCTTTTACATTGGACAGCAGGCAATAATTTATACTTTATAGTTATTGCTTACACCTTGGGTTAGAGCGTCTACTCAGTGGGGTAAAAATACCTCGGTTCTCAGAGCTTACAGGGCACTTCTGGGCCTCTCTGTGCTGATTTGTGAAAACAACTCATTTGGCCGCTGGTCTGCATTTAAAATGCCCATCTCATTAAAGCTGCACCCCACTGAGCTGATTAATTTGGCTCGGGCTGAGAGGGTTGGGAGCGAGACACGGCAGAGCAGAGCCCGGGAAAGGAAATGTTCCATCCACTCAGACAGACAGGGATGCAAAGGCTGCAAAGTCCCTGCTGAGATTGTGTGGTGCTGGCCTTTCACAAAGCCTGTTGTCATTCTCTGACTTCTGCTTCAGGCAAACAGTAAGATATACCCTCAGGAGGTTTTGCCAAGGGGAGAAGGCTTGCATGAAAATGCTGTGTAATACAGTTTTACAATTTACGCAACGCATTTTGTCCTCTGCGTGCCTCTGGGTATTGGCGGCACACGACTGCAAGCATCAGAAACGGAAGAGCCTGCACTGCACCTGAAGCAGCCTTGACAATGTTTTATGCCAACACAAACGTTTTCCTTAAAAACTTTACCTCCATCAAAGAATGTTTCCTCCCACCCTGTTGAGCCTAGACACGCTGATTCATCTCCTGTTTACACTTTCAAAATTTACTTGAAGCTTCGCAGCAAAATCATTTAACCTATCCTAATGTAAAATCTTTTAAAGCAGCTCAAGCTGAAAAAGATTTTTTCCACATGAAACACACTGACGGCTGCAGTTTCACACGTGCGAGTTTTAAAGGCTGTGATCTAGACAATGGATATAATTTTGCTCCTTACGTCAGCACACTAATACATTTATGATTAAAATGCTGTTTGAATCTGAACATAATGTGAATCAGAGAGGCCACCAAGCTCTGCGACAAACCCTTGGGGAGTCGCAGCACAGGATGAAAAATGGAGGAGAGGAGGCCAGGCTGGATGAAGGTCAGGCGGTGAGAATAAAACTAAACCTTTTCCGGTCTCACAGGAGGCCTAAATCCTCATTCAGAATCAAATTAATGCGCTACCTTCCCATCTTTAGCTCCTTGACCTTATGCGGATTTACCACTTGTTGCTGGTAATGATTTTGCCAAGTTATGTTATAATGCTCTGCTGTTTTGCTCGATGCACACGTGCACAGGGAGTTCTGAATGACTTAACGGAGTCGTGCGTGTTTGAACTGAGCGCCGTAAAGCAGCCTGCCAACATGTCCGCTCTAATAACCCAGTCAGCTAAATCTGATAAACTCAGACAGATGGATTTTATTGGCATTTGCTCTTTTACTCTGTGTGAGGCTGAATCACAGAAAATGCTGTAGGATCAGTGCAGATTGTTTTAACATGCATACATGGGAGCACCCTAGCTTTGCTCCAGTCAAAACCTTCTTGTCCATATGATTCAGCATGCATTTGTCTCAGGATGATGACGTCATAAGTTCCATAAAAATACTTAATATTTGTCAGCATTTAAGATTGACCTATTTATCCATTTAACATTTAAATTCAACAGAGCTATATAATGAAAATGTGTCAGGGACATTTTTTTTAATTTATTTTACATTTGGTGCCCCATACATTTTTTTCTGCACTTTAATCTTAATCTGTGGGCCTAACCCTAACCCAAATAAAATTAAGTGCTCTTGAACCTTTAGGAATAAATTCACAAGCCTAGTCTCTATGTAAAGCTATCAATCTGAATTTCTTCACAGATTTTCTTGTAGTAGTATTTAGTTATTGAAGCTAAAATACACTATAACCACTGTTTATCAATTTTTTATTTTATTTTATTATTATTATTATTATTATTATTATTTTTCATTTACAAAGATGCTCATTGAATAAAAGATAACACAATTGGCTACACAGCTGTGATGTCAGAATGAAGCTCTGAACTGATTGGCTGATTCAAGTGTACCATGGACAGRTGGGACATGAGGGGCTTGCCACAGATTTTGTGCCGCAGAGARTCTATAGATGAACCCAGTTGGTCAAAAGAGGTGTCAAATGAAAGAAGACAACCAATCAAATTGTTTGAACAGCCCGTAATGCAAATTCAAAGTCTCTGGAAGTGTGGGTCAGGCCAYAAAGAGGCAGGAAGTAACCACAAACTGGGAATGTACTGTGGATGGTACATTGAGGGTTAAAGCATTTTAAAAAAGCCAACTACTTCTGTATATTTTGTGCTATTTCAGTCATTCCTATATCTAAATGTTCAGCTCATTTATGAGATGTGATCGATGACTTTTGGTTGAACGTGTACACTACAAATGATTGCAAAATCACAGCTTTCTTCCAGTCTGAGTGTAGGCCAGGCTGAGACAGAGATCATGCTGAGAGTGAGAGAAGCTGCCAACAGGGAAAAACATCTTTCTCTCAAAGCGAGATAAAGAACGCTCTCTTCGTTTGGGGTTAAGCTGTGCTCCGTCTCAACACTTGAATACCAATTTTAACTAAAACGGATGACTCTTCAAATTAAGCCTGATTAAACAGCAAACAAGTCAGGAAAACAGAGCTGTTGTCCAAACCCAGAATGAGTCATGAGCTCTCATCTGCATAAAACCGAATTTCAAAAACAACAGACTGTTGTACTTTTTTTCTTTCTCCCCGCTCAGATTTTCAGCTCAGTTCTTGAGTTTCTGAGAATCTTGMACACTGATAACAAGAACATGAGAAAAACAAAAATATTATCACTAATAATAAAGACGCTGAGGATCAAGTTGCACTTTTAAAGTTTGACTAAAACAGTGTTTTACAAAAACAAATTAAAGCCTACAGTTAAGCATTTATAAGCCAGTAATCTAGCTCAGAAGGTTGATGGCATCAGACCTGCTGTTGAATGACATCAGACAGAATCATAAACACACGAGAATATGTCCAGTTCGCTCTGGAGGGATTGGGTTTGAAGAACTGGACACACACGGCTCTGCTGGAACACGACAGATAAAATCGACACAGTTATYGTTGCTGTCCAGACTCCTGCCGACAGCTTTATGACTGAGAACTGATTTCAGCTAAATCTGATTATATCCACAGTAGTGGTGAATATGATGATGATGTTAGGCAGGTCTTAGTGTTTCAGTATTAATGTTATTATATTTTTTATTTTAATTTTGGGTGTGCTGTCATATTGCAAATAGAAAGCCTGGAGAAGATATATGGCATGTGGCAACAAAATATTGCAAACAGACCTAATTTCATCAGAAGAGCTGTACTAAAGGAAGACCTCACATTCTGATGAAAATGATGAAAGAAGGTGTTGGCATGAAAAAGTGCTCTGTTCTGACGACATAGCTGGATGAAAAGTGAAAGAAGTGGCAGTGGGTTAAAACCAGTAACGTTACCACATTTTCGTGATGCTTTATTCTGTAATAAATCAGTGAGATCAGATTAGAACTAAACTGTGTTTTGAGTTTTTAGTTAATATGCTGTTGTTTCTTGGAACCTCGCACTGCGACTTGGTGATAAAAACACACCTTCAGTGTTTTCAGTCCATAAATCATAGGCACATTTACATACTGCCAGTCTGATGCTGGGAGGGGAATTTTCTGAGTACAAATTGCTGAACGGCCTAAACAGAAGCCGAATTAAATGCAGTACGAATCACGTTTAATACCATCATTAAATTATTTTTGATGAAGCAGTTGGCCTCGTCCAACTCCTGCACACAAAATCCAAAATGTAGCAAAGGAACTTTGACAGATTCTGCTTTTCAAAATTGACAACAAAATAAATAAAAAATAAAACTACCCCCCACCACAGAAGAGACACATGTTACGGCCCATCTCCAACACCCCGAACACAGATGCAACTTGTTTCCCCCACTGTGCATTGAAATGCTCCAAACAGGCCTCAGTGTTGGAGTTCTTTCCCAGAAACAGTGGGCCCACTGAAGCTGCATGCATTCATTTGCTGGGTCAGCATGGGCTTACAAGCCTTTCATGCAGGCAATTAAATATTAATGGAATTCGGAGATAAATTTAGAAAGCTATGTAAAACTGAAATGGATGCGCTCTGCGTTGACCTTATGTGATCAAGATAGATGAAAATGGGCAATGAGGCACTTTAATACAATAACATGGAAAATAGTCAGCCTTTTTGGGACGAATTGAAAGTTCAAAACAAAAAGGGGGTGGGAGAAATAATACAAAAAATAAATAAAATAAAAGAACAGCAGTGGAATGTGAGATGTTGCATCAAACAAAGGATGAAGTCCCAAATAGGCAACTTTAGTGTCGTGGTTAAAGCACGCAGAATAAATGCATTTTGTCACAATATAATGAATAAATACTTTATCTGCAGGTCATTTGAATAAACTACTAAAATATAACCATAATAATTTTGTAAGCCCATTTTTGAGTAGCTCTACAAAACCACGATTTTAAGCATAAAAGTCTGAAGTTTTTCTCATTTTTCCTGCAACTGTTTGAGAAATCTTAACATCCAAACCTTGTTTAAGGTTTCCTCTTAAAACGACATCAAAAATGCTTCATTATAATAACCTAAAAATAGGATTCAGACAAAATATGAATGAGTTCTCCTGATTAGGAAGACAAATCAAGGCGCATCTCATGAACTGCTCATTATGAAAAAGCCGAAATCTGAAAATGCGCTGAGGTAATTTTGTCCAAATTTGACTTAATCTTCATTAATGCGATGGATCACACATCTTCACATAAGACCCAAATAAAGGTTTGAAAGACACCTCTCAGTCCTTGGGAATATCCTTTTATGCGGCAGTGTGATAAATTGGATGCTTTTAGTGTTATTTTTACAACCACCAATGACCAGTTATTCTAGAATCTTGCCTAGAAGCGTGGACAGTGTTTATAGATCAACACAGCACCTGAGCATGTGGGTACACCCACATGCTCAGAAGGAGTTATAACTCAAGGACACTGAGATACTATTTCCAAGTTGACAAATAGACGAGGAACTTTTGGCCGTATTAGACTTAACCAAAGGGGTAAAGCTGGTCCATTTGACAAATGTACTACTGAAATGAGCGCTTCCCCATCCTCCCAATGAAGTTCTAAGAGGATCTAAAACACATCATGGTTTATTGCACCGTTTGGAGAAGCTTAGCTGATGAGAAGTGTTCGGACTCTGCACTCAGATGTAAAGGGGCTTTAATGAAAACAAACTGACTCCTCTTTTCCTGAAGCTCCATTCTAAAAATAGATTAAATAAATGAGAAATCAGTGAGACCATCGTTCATGCCTTAATTAATCTGCAATTAACCGAATTAAAGAATCATCTCTGTGGCCACGAGTCTTGCCTTGGTTATGGAATCACAAGTGTGTAGTTGCACTGAAGGGTGTGTGTGTGTGTGTGCGTGGCTGCACCGCCTGTGCACACTCGTGGGTGCAGCCATGTTTTAGCTTTTCATTCTCTTCTCATGATGACTTGCTCTTTTCATCCGCAACATAACAGTCGCCTGCTTTGCAAAAGAAAATCCCTGTTTTTTTCATCTCGATTCGAGTATGTTGTTTACATATGTCTTATCTAACTTAGGATTTTCCTCCTGGTGATGTTGTAAATATTTAGACAAGTTTGGAGCTCAAGGAAGAAGTCAGACACAGACAGTCCAGCGGGGACGCAGCTGGAGGACATGGAGATTCAAATAAATAAATAAATAAATAAATAAATAAATAAATAAATAAATAAGGTTGTAAAGTACATGGGTGGTGGGGGTGGGGGTGACTGGATAAAAAGATGAAGATAAGCTGTAGGTGCGGTGTCTGCCATCCTCTGTCCACGCCTGTGGTGCTGAAATCAGTCATCACTCCTTTCTTCCTTTTGCACGCGCAGTTCGGCAGAAACAGATCAGATATTTTCTTGCCACTGAAAGCTTGTTGCTACTATTGCATGCTCTACTCTACACACGCCAGATTCAGTCAATGAACCTGCCCTCCATCCCCATTCAAAYACAATAAGGATGCAGCTAAAGCATGAAGCATGCGCTGCAGCAGCTCTGATTTAAACACCTGGGCCTATTATAATGCGCTGGCGTAAAACTGAAAACACGTTTAAAGAAAAAAAAAAAAAAAAGAAGAAGAGGAAAAAGCAGACTCACCATCTCGTTCGCATAGCTGTATGGAATCCAGGCTCAGATCCTTGATGATCCCCTCGCAGGGACTTAATGGACTGGTGATGTTGTGCGCCAAGCCTGGAACCTCCATCTCTGCTGATGCTGAGTCTGAGTGATGCTGCTGGATGATTTGATTTTCGTCCACGGTGAGGGGAGGGTGACTTGGCAAACAGCCTTTAAAGAAGGAGAGAGAGTGTGTGGTGGTGGTGGGGAGAATAAAGCAAGACTCCAGTGTCCAGTCTGGCTCCGTCGCGCTCCTCTCCTCTGCCTCCTGGGTGGTGCGGCTGCTGGCGCGTCAGCGGAATCGTCACGAGCCGCCAGCTGCAACATGAGGCGCGAGCCGCAGCCTCTCTGCGGTGCCTGCTCTACCACCGTCCGCGCCAAGCTTTTCTCTTCCTTTTAAAGTATATATTTTGGAGCCTTTGTTCTTTTTCTTCTGCGAGGAGATACGGCTTGACTAGAAGAGAGCCACAAGTGTGYGCGCGCGCGCGCGTCCCGTGTGTGCCGCGCCGCTGCGGGACGGTTGAACGCGGATCAAGGAGATTATCGCAGGCGCAATCAGCAAAACTCAGAGGCTTCTTACGTAACCAGATTAAGCCGGTGGTTTCCCCCACCTCCCCTCCTCCGCGCACAAACTCTCATTCTTGTCCATTTCACGTCCAGCGTCATCCCAGGGAGGCCACCACATGACCTTATTTGGTAAACCTCCTCTGCAGGAGCGCAGGTGCAAGTGGACCGAGCAGTTAATGAGCAGGGGGACCACTAAAGGCTATTTCTCCATGCAGTTAATGAGCAACCTGACACAGCACCCATAAGGGCCACATTGATTGTTCTAATGCCACCTTATAAAAATGAGAGGAAAAAAAAAAGCTTCACAGGAAACCATAATCTGAGCTGRGTGTGTTTAATGAGCTCAGCTGCTCTTCCACACCCCTATTTATCAGTGACCCAAGAAGGAGTTTGCTAAGGCGTACTAGGTCAAGTGTCTTTGCACATTRGGGCTAAAAAGGCCTTTAGGCGTGTTTACTGACAACATCCTACCATGCACTCATGCTAGAGTCACAGTCAGTCACACATTTAGTTTGGTCTCGGACACAGAGCAGCACCAGAGTGAGGCGGTGTCACTTTCTGTTTGTTTTTRTCTTTCTCATCAGTGTCACACAGGCGAGGCGTCTTAGGAGGGGCCGCAGAGTGTTTATCTATTCAGTGGGGCAACTGATTCTGCAGCTGCGCCTCAGGGACCTTTTAGATATGCTGTTCCAAATGTCAGTGGGGGTCTGCATAATAGTCTATATGAGGAATTTGAGGAAGTACACACTCAAGCTCTTCTAATGGGGCACATTAGGATGAATCATCATCTCTAAAGTAGAGAAAAGAAAACACAACATTGCCTGTGTCTAGGAGTTCCCAATTGGTGGGCCGCAGTCTTACGAAGCCTAGATTGCTACACATACTTTTGCACTTTTCCAGAATTTATAAGGCACAGCTTTTCTACARCTTACAATGATTTATTTTACATGGCACAGCTTTTCCAGCGTTATGGTAATCATTTTAGGTGGTGCAGCTTTATCATTGACTTTTTTATTTGACAAAATTCAGCTTTTATGCAGTTTACGGTAACTTGTTGCAGTGCAGCTTTCCCACTATTTACTGTAACTCATTTTAGGCATCATGGCTTTTTCCACTTTTGCACTAACTCTTTTTAGATGGTGCAGCTTTTCTAATATAATTGCAGCATCTATCCTGCTAAGATAATCTGAAAGATACAGATCTGAAAGGACAATCTGGTAAGCAAAGAAAACTAGCAAAAAACTAAATTCAAACACTGGAGCTTTAACAGAGAAAACGTTTTTAGACAGACCTTGCAAAATTTTAATTGAGGACCACTAGTCCATTGTAACAAATTAATATTTCTCGTACTGAGACTGTTCACAGTAAATTGTACGGTGAGCTTTTTTTTTTTTTCATGGAGCTTCAAGGATTAAAAACTGGGGTTATGCAGGGCAGGCGAATTAAACTCCCGGTAAGCTTCTAATCAGCGTGGCATTCAGATGCAGCCTGAATGTTTTCCACCTTTAGAGTTGATGAGGGCATCGCTGCATCTGGCTCTGATTTTCAGCCTGGGAAAGTGAATCAAACTGATTAAAAAAATGAAGGTCAGCATCAAAATACTGACCATCTGAGGAGAGAAGAAGCTGCTGTAGATGATTAAACTTGTGAATTTTGGGTGCAGCTTAACTGTATTATTTAATTGTATTTTTGAGCATAGTTGGCAGCTGACCCCGTTTCCATATGAGACTGGTTTAACATCCCAGACTAATACAGAATTGACCATATATGCTCATATCTATTTCTGTTTTTCCCTTCCCCACTCCACACTGTGCTTATCAGGCATGGTAGCAGGAGGATGACCAATTCTGGAGGATCCCTTCTCATCTTACCACCACCCATCCATCCTCTCTGTCAGTCCTCTCTCTTTGCCCACCCGTATCCCCTCCAGCAAGAGTCACCCTGTGTTAGCATCAGCATTGCCATCAGAGCTGCAAGAGGAGAGAAGGAAGTGTGAGACTCCACGTCCCATGTAAAGCACAACACCCTCTCATCTCTTCCTCACTTCATGGTTTTATGCCTCCCCAAAATTTCCCTTCATATTTATTTTCTCATATCTAATCGTGCTGTGCTGCTGAAGATTGTTTTTTTTATTTTTTTTTGCATGTGAAGCATGCTGCATGTCGCAGTGTGCTTCGCTCTGGCTGTCCACTCTGATTTGTTCACTCAGCTGTGCTCAGAGGCCACATGAGCAGACAGATGGAGTATTAGCAGGAGTAAAGGTGTAGAATGAGCTGAAGCCAAAATAGTGAATGATTTCCAAAGAATGACTGCAGAGGAGAGACTCTAGACTTTTTTTAAAACATTAAACTCATTTTTTTGTCTCTCACACCCTACAGTCATTACACATCAATTCTCAGAAAGGAGGTACATGAGCCGATATATGAAGCACAAGTCACAGCATTTTTCACTGGCAGAAAACAATACAAAGCCCCCAGGGTTCAATTGTTTGTGTGTGTGTGTGTGTGTGTGTGTGTGTGTGTGTGTGTGTGTGTGTGTGTGTGTGTGTGTGTGTGCGTGGCTGGGTGTGTGTGTGTGTGTGCGTGGCTGCACCGCCTGTG